ATACGAAACCTTACTACTGAAGACTCCCTCTTTTTGTCACTATAAACAGGCGGAGGGAGCAGCAATGGCTCTCCCCCTATAGGTACTTTATGGCCTCTACCTGTTTACAGAGGAGGGGCTTTTCGTAAAGTTATTAGATAGATATATATATATGTATATATATAAGTATATATATACATCTATCAAAAGAATTATAATAATAAAAAAAAAAAAAAATTTTTCGGGGAAAATTCCCCTATTTATATAAAAATATATATCACGTGTATCACGTGATATTACTAATAATTACCGCAGCAGGCGCAGCTGAAGCTGCGCCTGCTGCGGTATAGCGAAAAAAAATAAGCTTTTTTTAGTAAAAGCTTAATTTTTTCTCACGATCTTTCAATTTCTTTCGCCCTTTCCCATTCCCATTTCGTTCCCTTCCCTTTTTCTCTTTCGTTCTTTCCTTCCCATTTCGGTTTCCCCCTTTTCTCTTTCATTCTCCCTTCCCATTTCGTTCCCCTCCCTTTTCTCCTTCGCTCTTCCTTCCCATTTCGTTTTCCCCCTTTCTCTTTCGTTCTTCTCTTCCCCTTCCCTTTCCCCTTCCCGGAATCGTCTTTCAGAAAAATAATGGTAAGTTTCGAAGCGAAACGCTTCGAAACTTTTTAAAAATTGTGTTTTTAATATCTTTTAGGAACTGACTCCTATACTTGTTTTTTTGTAGATATTTAACGTATTCGATTTCAGAAAATGAGTTTTGCCGTAAAATTCGCATTGTTGAGAAGGGTCCCAAGATATGGTCTATTCATTCTTGGGTCGATGCGTGGAATTCTTATGTTTAGTAGGTGAGGTGAAGGAAAACCTTCGAAAAGGAGTATGGTTTGTCTTCAAGTTTGGTAAACCATGAAGTTTCGAAGCATTTGCTTCGATATGGTAAGTTTCGAAGTGAAACACTTTCACTTCAAAACTCAATTTTTTTTTTAATTTTTTATTAGGAAACGTTTAGAAAACGTTTCCTTTATCCTTTTTGTAGGATCGGAGTGTTCAGAACGTTGGGTAAGTTTCATTTTGTTACGAAACTTTTTAAAAAATCTTTTTTTTAATTCTTTTTTGTAAGGAAACGTTTCTAACGTTTCCTATTTTTTTTTTGTATAGGTCTTTCGGTATTCGATTTTGGAAGTGGAATTGGTAAGTTTCGAAGCGAAACTTATTGATTTTTTTTTTAATTTATTTTAGGAAACGTTTCTAACGTTTCCTTTCTTCTTTTTTGTAGGATTTTTGATGCTTTTACTGAAACGAGGAAATGAAATGATGGTAAGTTTTGAAGCGTTTCGCTTCGAAACTTTAAATTTTTTTTTTTTACTTTTATAAGGAACGTTTTTAACGATCCTTTATTTTCTTTTGTGTAGGTTTTCGGTATTTGACTTCGGGAAGTAAGGAACCGAAAGGGTAAGTTTCGAAGCATTTTTCGCTTCGAAACTTTTTTAAAAAAAATATTTTTTAAATTTTTTTTGTAAGGAAACATTTCTAAGTTTCCTTTTTCTTTTTGTAGGAACACCGGACGTTTGGATGATGGAGTTCGAAACGAACCAGTGAGTTTCGCAACATTGTGTTGCAAAACTTTATTTTTATATATTTTTTTTAAGAAACGTTAACTAACGTTTCTTTCTTTTACTTTTTGTAGGTTCCGGACATCAGGATGATGGAAACGACTGGTAAGTTTCGCAATGTTACATTGCGAAACTTAATTTTTGTTTTTTTTTATTAAAAGAAACGTTTATATTAACGTTTCTTTTTTACTTTTTGTAGATTCTGGACGTTGGAATAAATGAAACGACTGGTAAGTTTTGCAATGTTACATTGCGAAACTTAATTTTTGTTTTTTTTTATTAAAAGAAACGTTAACTAACGTTTCTTTTTTACTTTTTGTAGGTTCCAGACATTTGGATAATGGAAATCGAAACGAACCGGTAAGTTTTGCAACATTGTGTTGCGAAACTTAATTTTTATTCTTTTTTTTTTAAAAGAAACATTACCTAGCATTTCTTTTTTACTTTTTGTAGGTTCCAGACGTTTGGATAATGGAAATCAAAACGAACTGGTAAGTTTCGCAACATTGTGTTGCGAAACTTAATTAATTATTATTTTTTTTAAGAAATGTTAACTGACGTTTCTTTTCTTCCTTCTTGTAGATTTTCACCAGCTTCTACGTTGGCATCGGACATTAGATACATGAATGAATTAGAGGTGCGGATTACCCATCCATGGATCATTGGATATCTGATGAATATAGATTAATATAGATTCTCATCATTAAATAATAATTGTGCATTTGTTAATAAATAATATTGTAATAAATTATGTAAAATTATTAAATCAATGTTTTAAATTGTTATAACGTTTACACTAAATTGTTTAAAATTATTACTAAAT